AAAAATGTGCGGGGCAGTTCCATTGGCTAGGCAAGAATGGCATCTTTGGGCTAAAGATTTGATAAAACAAAACATCTGATTAATAAGAGAAACAAAAGGAAACTTGAGGAGTCCATTCCTGAAATGGGAGTTAGAAAAATACAGAAGAAGCCGGATAAGTAGTAAAAGTCGTCCTCTACAGAGATCATGTTATGACTTGCCTGGAGCTGTCTTTCTAGACACTTTTAAAAGAGATTACGCCGCTCGTAGCATAGACTAGCAAATCGACCGAAAAGCAGTCGTTAAGACTGATCAATAATTATGTAAATAAATTAAAAATTATGTTTACAAGTAGCAGGATAATAGCTTGTTACCATATTAGATCCTTATCCAATATAGGTGCCAGAACCTATTTCTGATTTATGACATTTCTCTAAATGCTAAACCAAATCTATCGTAACAAGCGATTGAAGATTTAATATATGGTTGGTTCAAAGCTATATACTTTAATATTTAATAATTAATAAACAGATGACTTATATGAATAATATCAAGTAACACTTTCGATTTGTTTTGTTTTTATGAATGAACAATAAAATGTAATCGATTTAAGGTAACTAACTACGGATAAAAGGGAGCAGGTGAGTAATGATTTAAATAAGTGATTTCAATTGAGGTTGAAATAGAGCCGATAATTCTGAGATAAAAACTGTAAAAGCGATTGACATATATGAGAGTATAAGATAAATAATATAATGCAAGCTTACTCTGAAATGGTTGTAAATCGATTCAACTGTACAAAATGATTACTAGCCTGTGATTTTTCTATACACTATACACATATCTTATCATATCGTATAAATTTATTAGAAAGGATGGTTGGTCTGAAAGTAAACTTATTCGCTAGGCAAAAGTTTTATTTTATATTAATAAAAAGAATTAACTAATTGATATAGAAGTATGATGCACAAATTATTATGAACAGAACATCATATTGGAAATAACAGATATGAAGAGCAAGAGAATAAGACCTTCTTTTAGTTGAACTCTCCTTTCGCTGTACAGTAGTGGTTTTACCTCGGTTTCGCAACAAAAACACCTTATCCAAAGTCGTATGGCATAGTAATCATGATAAATTCCAGCATTCTCAGGCGTTTTGCCGGCATTTCCAGTGAGTATTGGCAGCTTTAGCACCAAACAATGATAAATCAGAGACAAGCTAATACTAAGAATGGCAAGACTCGTTATCAACACCGGCGAAACGCCTAGGAATGTACCAACTTCACTATGGCAGACGACTTTGAAGAAGATGCCTTTTCCAAAGACTCTCTATAAGTGCGACTAAATAGGAAACACGAGGACAAATAGCCTCTATTAGATTAGCAAGCTTTGCGGGAAGACGAGAAGTGGATGTCCATCAAGGAAGTATATTCTGTAAAGCAATGAATCAACATACATCTGGTGTTAGGATTTTTGTTTTTTAAAGCTGAATATGTAAAAATAAGTTCATGTTAAATATTACTTAAAAATGGTTGGTAGGTATCTACACATCATTATATATGGCAATAGATGATCATCGGTTTTATCGAATTAAAACTAAAAATGCTAAAAAATGAATTGCAGCAAACCTCATTAAAATAGTCACCAGAGAACTTAGCGAAGAGTAGAGTGAAAAGGATAGGAAGGCCGAAAGAAACATTTCCAGTGGCCTCCATAAGGATGACGGTTAGGCTGGCCGTCATACGCACAATCCCGCCGAGCTGAGCAGCCGCACCGATTAGAGCAAATTTCCGAGGATCGGTGAAGAGGTTCGGAAACGTTAGATTAGCCAGTTCACCTTAGTAAGGTCAATATATCGATAGATTAAGTGGATATATGAAAAAACAAGAGGATTTATAATATTGAAGGAAATATATATATGACATAGCTAGCAACGTTCTAAGATCAAAATATAAAAATTAGGGCCTGATGAAAAGGAAAAAATGTAAGGCCTATGGAAATTGATAAAATGGGCAAAAAAGAAGATATCAAAAGATATGGAAGAATTCAAATTGAATAAAGACAAAAATAGATGACAATGAAAGGTAAGGATATGTGATTGGGTGAAATAAACCAGAACAAAAATAATGCGAACAGATAATGTTAAGTGGATAGGTAAAATCTGAGTAATGAGATTGTGGTCAGTAGGAATAGAGACAATAAAACAATGGAAAGACATCAAAGAGATGCATAAGTTAATATTGAGGATGCGATGGAGAAGGGATTTAGAGGAATTGACGATAAGTTTAATACTTTCGTCCTATCGCCGTGTTGGTCAGTAAGTGTTGTCACCTCGGAAGCCACTTCAACTGGGCGTACTGACTTTAACTAAGGCTGCCTAAAAATCCCAAACTTACGCAATTTCTCGTCATGCCGTTTTGCTATTACGTCAGAAATCCTACGTGATTTCCTGTCAGTCATGCTCTGGACTTTTTCAAAATCTTCCGGAGACAGGATCCTGGCCAAATCACGCCGGAGCTTTGACTTAATATCTATAAACTTAAACAACTTACGACGTTCACTATCATAGGCCTCACTCAGTTTCTGCATAGAAGCCTGGTGGAGATGCTCATTAACCTTATCTGAGTGGTAGGGCCTCTTAAGGTCACAGAACTTAGGAGTAATACCATAAAGTTTACAACAGTTTAAAAAAGAAATATGGGAAGACTGACTTAAAATTGTCTTATTTGTCCGGCTGTATTCAGTGCATTGTTTGGCAATTCTACTAGCGTAGTTTTATTGAATATATGAAGACCAAGATATTGTGGCCTCTGGTGTGGTCGCAGTCTCCTTTCGATTGATAGAA